TTACCTACAGTCAAACCAATCTTTGATTTCATTCTTCTTTTTCTCAGTCGAACTTGGCTCTACTCCAGTAGTGGTAGCTTCAGTTGTTGTAGCCTGATTTAGTCCAATAGTGGCAGCTTCAGCTGTTGTGGCCTGATTTATAGGCTCAACAATAAAGACAACACGATCTGGACCTTTGTTAATATATTTATTTAAGTATTTGATAGAACCATTCTGATTGCACCACTCCACGTTGATATGAGCTTGATATCGAACTGAAAGCTTCTTGTTGTAAGGCACAACATAAGTATTATCACATTTAAAACCTCCCTTCTCAACGTAGTCTTCTGTCTTCCTTCTTTTATAGACGGGATAACCATCCTTACCAACCTTGGTAATATCTTGATGTTTTTTCGGATATCGCTTTGAACATTCACCATCTACCATACATGGGGAATTCTTGTTTGCTGCACCGCATGGTCCGTGGATCATAGAATTCTTGATTACTTCCTATAGCTCTGGTTCTTTCTCTTTATCTGGAATCACTGCGCAAATGATCTTATCGATGTCGTCAGCTGTTGGTAGTTTGCTTTTAGCATCCATGAATAAGAGAATATGAGCATGTGGTAGTCCTCTTTTCTGAAATTCAACAGTATGCATAGCTGCAATAATAAAAATGAATAATAATTAGGGTTTTAAAATGAATAATAATTAGGATTAGCAAATATTAATTAACATGAAAGTAGAGTAGAGAATTAAAAAGTTTGAAATGATTCAATACTTACATTCCACTGTTTTTCCAAGCATATTCTTTTTTGTTAAATCTTCCACTAGAGAATCCAACTTGATTTTGAAAATCCTGGCAACAATATCCGGTCTATCATCTGCAGATAGACCTCTCTCTTGGCAATATCTAGTTATCTCAGGCCACTTAGGATTACATGTAAAGGTGATGAATAGGTCGGGGGAACCGTAATGCTTACAGATGGCCATTGCATCATAGTAGCTTTGAACCATATATCGAGGTCCACCAGTGAAAGAAGATGGAATTAAAATTTGATTACCTTCTTCATTCATAGTTGTTGTTCCTGATTCAGCGGCCTTTTGCAAAGAGCTATAGTTCTCACATCGTAGCTTAGACTGATTAAACTTGATATAAGAAAGTCGGTTAGATTCAATAGTTGTATAAGCATCACATAGAAACTGTTGAAACAACCTCTTTGAACGTAGCAAAGTTTTACACTCATGTTCCCTCTCTTGAATCCTGAATGCAAACCATTGTCTCATGCTAATACACTTCTTCTTCTTATTGGTGGCTGACTTATAACATTTCTCTATACCCGGCCTGTAACCATCTTCACCATAGCACATAATTAGAGGATATTGTAGAGCCAAATAGGAAATATGAATTTGGCTAATCCTCGTTAGGTGACCAGTAGTATTTTCTTGAAGTACTATATCACGGTCATACATCTTTTGATGAAAATCCCCAGGGATTAAAGCGGCTACCTCAGATGCTGAAGGCATACTGTATGTCCTCCCATCAACACCCTTGCGATCAGCAACGATACGCATGTGAAACGGCTCATCATTATCAGACTCAATCCTCTCTCTGGCGGCTCTGAATTTTTCAACATAAGGGTTGACTTCGTCGAGCATTTTCATTAGTGCTTCAATTACTTCTTTTTCAGTTTATGTCTTCCCGAACCTTGATTTGAATTTTTCCCCTTGCTGCCAAGGTAGTAAATACAAAAGTTAATTAAGCAGATTACAGATATAGTTCTAAAATGTTTCCTAAATAAAGTGAAAGAAGAATGCTTACTTGATGATGGTAGCTCTGTTTTCTACTTCGTTTTCCGTATCAACTATGTATAGTTGTGAGTACTTAGCATAATCACCTGGATTAGGTTTTAAACTACCAATCAAATGGTAGTTTCCACCTTGCAATCGAAACATGTTAGGCCCTTTACCTTTTGGCACAGAGTTGTCCACTCTTCCACCAAGGGAAGTCATTTCAAAAATCATATTATATATTCTTATATTCTCTCTGAAATTTCTACTAAGTGCGTCATCACCTATAAGAAAATAGCATCAAAAGACTGATTAAACTTCAGGATTTAACAGACTTGCTTATATGATGTTTAAATAGTCTAAGCTAGGATTTGAGAACTATTACCTGTAAGAAGCTTCTTAATAAGCTCAGGTGAATCTTTTAGAAAGGATAACTTAACACTTCCTTGTCCACAGTAGAGCGTAAACGTCGGGTTTTCCTGCTTTCTTCTTTTGTTTATACGCTCAGCAAACCATATCAATGCACCACAATACTTACATTTGTATGTTGCATCACCGTGATCAAGATAAGCTTGTAGTCATTTTAAGAAGGTATTTTTTAGAAATTTGCTAAAATCTTGATGGAAATATAAATGTTAATTTTTAACTAAAGTCTTAAACATACCTCCTTTTTTGAATTGGTATACGAAGTGCTACTATTTTTATTCAATCGTGGCCTTCCTCTTTGCTTTTTTTGTGGCACATTCTGATTTTCTGCAGTCTTTTCAATAGTTTTCTTCAGCATTTTATCAAGCTTAGCCATGAACTCAACATGTTCTGCACACCCGGCTCTCTGGTGTGATATAATTTGTGGTTGATCTGTAGATTGCTGGCCAATGATATGTTCTGGTTCTTCAATAGGATCCGCTTGGTCATTGTCTTCATCAGTGTCTTCGTCGTTTGCACTGAGATAGTAGTTTTGGTCTTCATCTGTTGCACTGTTATTTGAACTCTCATAGTTGATATCGTCCATGGTTTCATCATCAGTACTTGCATCATTGAAGTCTTGTTCCATGGTTGCAGAAGCTTGCCATTGAATGTATCAGAAGTAAATAGCAGAATGATTAGGTTAAGACATTTAGAGTAGATAGTAATACTAATTCAAAACAATGCTACCTTGATTTAGAGGAGAGGAGGTCGCATTTTCAAAATCGTTTTGTAGATTTTTTTCTTGGAAAACTACCAACTTGATTTGCATAAGTTGTTTGTTTTTGATTGGTTAAGCATGATGAAGATGCAGCATATTGATTTCCTTGCAAACAAATAAATAAAATTGTGTTAATATAAGAGAAGTTTAAAGCCTAAACTGAGATTCCCTATATATATAGATATATATTTAGCATAAAAATTAACCTTTTGGTTTCTAAATTGTTGTAACAGAAGGAAGATTACGTGTGGATTCATTAGAAGGCTTCTGTGGTATAACATTGTTGATGTCTTTGAATACATCTCTTGAAGATTTATGCAAATGACTTGACTTGGTATAGACCATTGACGCCAGCCCAGAAAGAGGACTTGTACCTGGTAATATAACAATGGTAAGTTGTTTTGTTTTAATAACCAAATTATTAGTAGAAACGTTTACATAGTGTCATACATTGACGTGATTATTGTTTTTAACAATAGTACAGTTTATACACTAAGAAAAATAAGAGTATTAATGTTATAGGAGATTACCTTGCGTTGTGTTAGTGCTGTTTGCAGAATAGACTTGTTGATTAGATGATGGCGTCATAAAATTAACAAAGGAGGTATATATTATGCTTAGAAATAATATCTTGTAAAACTCTAGAAAAAGCTGAAGTAAGAGGAACAGATCCATTAGTAGTAGATCCATCAGCTTGAGTTATTTGACTATGTGGAGTAGTGCTTTGAAGCAAATGTGTTCTCTTTGATGGATTAGCATTTGAAGAAAAATCAAAAGGGGAAGAAGGTGGTTTGTTTTTCAAGTCTGTTAACCACGTCTACAGAGCTTTTTTAACCTTCGTTTTTCTCAGCTAATTCTATACTCTAGGGATGCAATTAAAACCTACATATTAAAAGATATAGCTCTAGTTACAACCGAAGATTTAATGGTTGAGTAGATATAGTTAATTGCTAGAATCAAGCATATGAAGCTTTTAGTTATGGTAGGGTAAGATTCTGTATAAAAAGAAAAAACTAAATGCTTGGTAAAAAGTAATCTCAATTTAGGAAAATATAATGATTAACATATATATATATATATATGGTTTGCTTGGTTTGGTATATCTCGTGGAATGTATATATCGATTGTTTACATTGGTTTGGTTTTAGCTGGTTTAGATGAAGAGGTTTACTTTGGTTTAAACTGAAGCTCGTGTTCAGGACAGGAAAAAAAAGAGCAACAATCATCATGTTCTTCTCATAATGAATCTAATAATTCTGATACTTTTCTCAGAATCCAATTGAACAACTGTTTGATTGGTCTAATCGTATTGGTCTAACATTCTGCAAAATCTGAATAACTGTTTGATTTTTCTAGAGTATTGGTCTATCATTCTGCCATAGCTTGTGATGCTTATTTAAGAATCTAACTTTTGTTTAAATTTTAGACAAAACAGATTCTTAATGCTAGCAGATTTTGATGCATTTCTCAGGATGATAAATTGATGTGTGATGGGTCTAGATATATAAGAAGTTTCTGAGAAAGCTCTCATGAAGAAACGTAAGTTTTTCTATTCTTCAAGGAGAATATATTATTCAATCCAGAGTATGTTTAGTAGTGATGTGTTGTAAAACTGCTTTAGTGGTAGGTAGTTCTCATTTTGGAATAGCTGGTTGAATAAGTTTGTTTTAACATATAAAGTTTGTGTGTTCTTTTCTTTCGATCTCCAGGTTGATAACACACCATTGAATCATGAGTGAATCTTGATGAACAGGAGAAAGAAACAGTGATTCACCACCAGGTTTAATCCAAACACTACATTTATATTATACTCCTTCCGTATTTTAATAATTGTCGTTTTAGGATTTTTATTTTTTTGAATTGGATGTCGTTTTCAAATTTCTATGCAAAATTTATTACTTTTTAATGTTTTATGACATCATAAAACATTAAAAAGTAAGAAATTTTGCATTGAAATTTGAAAACGACATCTAATTTTAAAAAAAAGAAAATCCTAAAACGACACTTATTAAAATACGGAGGTAGTATAAGGTAAGTACTCACTGAAACAAAAGTGATTTTATTATAGCAACAAAACTTTAAAATAGATGTGCGTGAAAGCAACACTTATTTCAAACAACTGCAGGAAAACTGAAAATAAAAAACATAACTTTAAAAGGTTCAACTGAAGAGTAAAAGAATAAAGCAAACCACACACTTAAGTGTGTACAAACAACACAACAACAGATTACTTCTTTTCTATCTTCACCTTAACGCCCATCAGGTTCTTTGAGAACTCACTCAAAGAGTTGTTAACTGAACCTCCACGATCTTGACCTTTTTGTTTCTCATCCCCATCCTTGATGGTAGGCTCTTTGGATTGAGCATCAGCCTTCTGTTTCTCATCCGCATCCTTGATGGTAGGCTTTTCGGATTGAGTAACAACCTTCTGTTTCTCATCCCCATCATTGATAGTTACCTCTTCAACTTGAGAAATGTTACCTCCATCTCCAGACTCTGGATTAGACTTTCCCAAGTCTAAGGGCTCGATAAGACTTTTGCAACAGAATCTTGACAGGCTTGTAATATGTTTACCAGTTCGTCAGACAATACAATCTCTAAAGTTTCACCGGTGTTTTCGAGGTATTAACGCCAAGAGTGCAAAATCTTGACTTGAACCCTCCATGATGTCTTGTATGGGCGGACATCTTTGAGAAACGCTAAGGTAGTAGCCATTGGAAGAGAAGAAAGGTATGCTAAATATTGTTAAATGATTGTAAGCTCTTGTGTTTGGTGATGAAAAATGAGGTTTAGGTGTAAAGTATTTATAGGGAAGTAAATTAGGTTTCGTTTATTCATAGGCTACTCTCCAAAATTAAAAACGACGCAAGATTTGTGGGATACAATCTTTGATATTATTGTGTTTGTGGAATATGCTAGGATCAATCTTTTATTTGGTAATTAATATTCTTTATATATTTCGTGAATTAGATAGATATTTTAGGAAAAAATTACTTAAAGTTCAAGGTGGAGTGTTTAAATAGAAAGAGATATCTCGGCAATATCGGCAATCTCGACAATCTCGACGTTAATTCTCGAAACACAATAATATTATTGGTGAAAAATATATAAATCGATGATCGAATTAAGAGCTAGTAATATTTTGGTAGTTAAGTTTGAGATATTTTAGGAAGATTGAATCGAATATGTCGTGTAAGTATAGTAACTAATTCTGTAGTTAAATATTTGGAGATTGGTAAGTTTAGATTTTATAGGAATATTCAAGATTATTTAATTAATGTGATTTTGCCAAAGAAATAAAAAAAGTTAACGTGGTTAAGATGGGCCAAATATTAGGCCTCGTCGCTAGATAGATAAACAAAATTTGCAGGCTTAGTCGTTTCTTTGTTTCATTAAATGTTCGATGCAGAATTTTTGGAAGTATCCGATTTTAAGAACCGGGTCGATTGTTATTAAAAAAAACCGACCCAACCAATGGCATTCCTTGTAAATACTTAGCAACTCCAGGATTTATTTGCTAAGTGTACTCAAAAAATGTATATATAGATTCATTCTGCTGAACCATAAGGGGTGAGTTTATTTCTTATTTAATATTTCTAATTCAAAGGTATAAAGAAATTTACTTGCAACCTTACATATAAGAACATTTCAATTTTGAAAAAGATATGGCAACCCATAGAAAACATATCAAACTAGCGTTTTCCAAATTCTTAAAAAACACACTAATATAAAAGACAAAAATACAATAAACTTAAGCCGAAAATTTTAGTAGTTGTGCATCTATCTTAGGTTAAGATCTTTTGGTTCTCATCCAAAACCTCCCTAAGTTCATAAGGATGAATGGTAGACGTAAATTCAAACCTATTTGATAAAATCAATAGTTGTTAGTTAGATTAAAAATGAAACATAGCACGCATATTTTTGTTTAACGATAATTAAATGAAGATTACATAAAATTATCTTTGTCAATTTCTGGAAAGTCATGATTGATAAAAAAAAACTTAAACACCCATCTCAGACATTAGACATGGTTTTCATAAGTCACAAACTCACAATACAAACACTAAAAAGAATTTCCAATGTCATATATTTGTTTGTTTTTATAACCTTCAAATTCATCAACTCTCTAAAATAGAATGACACATAAGATCAGATCCATTGCGTAATTGCACTCACAATCAAGATCATATTCCGTTTTAAAGTAACATATCAAATTATTGTTATTGTAAATAAAATTAAGGGGATGGTTTAGGCCAGATGTCTAGAGCCGGCTCTTGCATTAACTTGATACCCCATTACATTGCTATAAGACTTGGGATGACTGCTTTTAGGCCGACCAGGATCTCTCTTATATTGGCTTATCGTTCGAAAATGATTCTAGAAGGTGCCTTAGAGGATGTTCTAATGAAAATTGGTGAATGCTTAATTCTAACCGACTTTGTGGTTTTGGCATATGATGAAGAACCTAAAGACCCTCTTATTCTGGTAAGATCCTTCTTGGTTACTGCTGGTGTTGAGATTGATGTGAAAAGAGGAGGAAAAGCATTGAATGTGTGTGATTTGGTAATGACTTTTGACATGAAAAAGTAGAAGATGACACCCACCATTGATGGTCGGTCTTTTTCTCTCGATACCTCCATTGAAACTGTTGTTGAGTCTGAGAAGGAGTTGGGTACAAGCGAGTTGCATCAGCAAGCAGAGAACTGTTGTGAACCAAGTGACGAGAGTCGAGTTTCAGAACACGTGTCGCTTGACACATCTACTAGTGTCAATCGCCACCCTCACTAAGCAGAACCAGAGTTATCCAATAAAGCTGGTTTTCGGGATGGAATCACTGCTGCAAGTCCGAGAAATATTTTTAAGCCAAATACTACACCTCTCGTGCTGTAGAAACCTCCCAAAAAGCAAAAGTACCCAATGTTTCCACCTAAACCTTCTACTTTCGTCAATAAGACTTTTGCAACTTCAAACACTGTTTTACGGTTAAGTAAGCCACAAGTTTCTCATCGAACGCTTGTTTCTTCTGTTGATGATGCAAGAAAAAGGTTCTCGCCCAGCTGCTATTACCTGTTTCCTTGGACAATCTCATGCATCTATTGCTTACACTCCACCTTGGATGATGAGGAAGATTGGGATGATCTCGATTGAGTAAAGGGGTAGGAAAACTTCTAATGATCCCATTATTTTACTCTCAAAGGAATGATCAGACAAAGGTTGGAAGCCAGGTCAGAAAAAATTTCTGTGATACCATTATTCGCCTACGCCTTTGAATTTTAAAAAAGAATGATATGTAAATGAAAAAGTCTTGGAGAGAAAGAGTACCAAAGTGTGTGAAGTGGTTAATTTGTCATGGTATTGAATGGGAATGAGTTTAGAAGGTTCTTGACATTGGTTTCATTGATGAAACCCATCAATGAGGGCTAATGGATAATGTTGTGAGATTTGGTTTGAATTTGGGATGTTGCGAATGCATGCGGAGAAGTACATAGTGGTTCGATTTGATGCGTTCTGTTAGCATATGGATTTGATTTGAATGATTTGTGCAATACGTTACAAAGAATGGGACTTTCCGAGTTTTCAAAGTTCATGTTTGTTTGAAGGTAAGCAAAAGCTAAGTTTGGAGAAGTTGATATATCATAGTTTTTACGACTTTTAACCATGATATAGGTATTGTTTTTAAAGTTTTTTAGTGTGTCTAAAATCTTTTCGATTCTTTTTTAGGTTTATGTACGTTTGGGATTCATTTGAAGATTATGGAGCATTTTGTAAGTTGTGCTAACAAGAGAAATTTGGAGACCATCTTGGAGTAGGTGTCGATCGACACCACTCATTGGTGACGCTCGAAACCTGGGGCGTCGCCTGAAGCTGTCAAGCTGAGGACGAGTTTTCAAAGTTTTGAAGAATTACATATTTGCCCCAAAAACTTCTCTAATTGCAAAAAAGTCCCTAAACGTGTTATTTAGTTTTTTATATATATATATACATATATATATTGGGTCATTGTTTAGACCTATCTTTCATTCTATTTTATTATTTTGAGCTTAAATCCTTTCGAAGATAATTGGAGAGAGCTTTTGGAGAGAAAGATCAGAATTCATTACTTCTAGAGATAAGATTTCTAAACTCTTATCTCTTTTATTGAATTCTTTTATGCAATCATATTCAATTATGATTTATGTTTTATTGATCATGTTTGAGTAGTTTGCTTGTTAGGGTTAGGGATTTTAAAAGGATTTATGATGAATTGTTAGGTTTGATTGAATTATTAGGCTAAATCCATAGAGTTTTCTTCATTTAGGATTGTTTTTAATGCTTATTCTAGATTCACGACCTAGAATCTGATTTTAGGATTAATTGACATGAGAGTGTCATTGATTTCCTGACCTATCGTAGATGAGAAAAATTTCTATTCGCAAAGAGATTTTGTTTAGGGATTGTTGTGATCTAATCGAACTACATCTTTAATGCTTGTCTAGTTTTTAAGAATTCGCAAAGAGATTTGAAATTCTAGATATTAAGCATAAATAAACTCTGCAGCGAGAGTCGATTGATTTTACAATTGTGATTTGAGTTCTAGAACTCGTTCTTAATTAAGTCCTAACAATTTGGTAAATCTACAATTCTTAATTTCTGGAGAATTTTCCTAAGCCTCTTTTCCCATATTGATTTAAAAAAACCGATTATATTTCTTGCAATTCTAGTTTTAATATTTTATGTTTTGCTTGATTTAAACCATTGTTCTAAAAATCGGCTGCCTAGCCGATTGTACTCGTCCGGATAGGCAATCATTGGAGTACCTCCGCCGCGATTTGATCCAAATCATTCAAAAATCGGAAACTTTTAGAACAACTCACTTTTGATGAAACTAAAGTTCTAAATCGGTGTTTAGGTTGTAGATCTATCATATGTGGGTAAAAATCACTGAAAAACAAGAGAAAACGATAGCAATCTTGAGAAAAAAAAAAAACAGAAATGGCGAAATTAGGGTTGCAGTCGGCAAAATTTGAGGAAGAAGACGAGGGCAATTCAGTCATTTACTATTTCATTAAATAAAAAAATAAGAAAAAGGATAAAACGCGACAATTGAGATTCGAACCCATGATGGACTATGCTTAAAGGGAACCATTTACCACTGGACCATATTAATTCATTGAAATATCTTCCAATAGTTGCTATATATACATATATATAAATTAAAACATAAAAAACTATTCCCGGATTAATCCCCGTTTAATCTCTGATTTTTTCGCTAGGCGCTAGGCTCATCCCGAGCGCCCGACTAATGCCTAGCGATTTTTAAACAAGGTTTTAAACTAATAGTATATTCTGTGATTGTAAGAAGTTTGTGGAATTAGACCTTTAAGTACTTAAATGATCTCTTTATTTGAGTGGACCAAATTATTTGGTTGTGAAGATATTTGTTGAAGATATATCTAAGGCTAATTTAAACCATATCATTCAAATTATTCGGTTGTGAAGATATTTTCCCAAATTGAACACAAATTGGAGTCTAATTCGATATGGTTTGAACATACAAAGTTCGGTTCGTTTGAGGTAAAATCAAGAACGTACCCAAAAATTCTATTTGTAAAGAAATGTCCTCAATTTTTATAATTACATCAGCCAAAGAATTAGGCCAACAGTAAATATAAGCCCTTAAAAGAGAAATACAATGTTGGTGTCGGATCTTGTAATCTACCCGACCCAAGGAATTAGTGGGCTTCAAGTTTTGGTATTTGGTGGAGATTTTAGACAGGTATTACCTGTGATAAATGGTGGGTCAAGAGCACAAATAATTATGGAGAGTCTAAATGCATCTTACCTTTGGGAGCATTATAAAGTTTTGAAGCTGACAAAGAATATGCGTCTGCTATCTGGTAAATTGAGTCCCGAAGAAGCAAAAGACATAAAAGAATTTTCAGAGTGGATTCTTGATATTGGTGACGGAAAAATAAATGAGCCAAATGACGGGAAGGTGCTTATAGATATTCCAGAGGAGCTTTTAATAATTGAGGTTGACAATCCCATTGAAACTATAACCACGATAGTGTATGGAGATCCAAAAAAATTGAAGGTTAAGAAAGATCCAAAATGGTTCCAAGAAAGAGCAATTTTATATCCAACCAACGAGGATGTTCATAACTATTTGTGCTTGATAATCTTGAAGGTTTGATTACTTTTTATTTATTAAATTATTTATAACTATATTATATGTTTGGGAGTTACGTTTATCAAATATATCTAAGTTCAGATTCAATAGATCCTTTTGACATTGGAGGTGTGAACAATCCAGTATTGACTCCTGACTTCCTAAACAGTCTAAATATCCAGGGATTGCCTAAGCATAATATAAGGCTGAAGGTTGGTTGTCCTGTTATGCTTCTAATAAACCTGGATCCAAGAGGAGGTTTGATGAACGGTACAAGGTTACAGATTACTCAAATGGGTGAATTGATTATTGAAGCTATAATTATCACCGGTGATAGAGTGGGTGATAAAGTTTTGATACTGAGGATATTGCTATCTTCTTCAGACACTAAGCTGCCTTTTAAAATGCGTCGGAGACAGTTACCATTAGCTGTTGCTTTTGCGATGACGATAAACAAAAGTCAGGGTCAATCATTAGACAATGTTGGTCTCTATCTTCCTCGGCCCTGCTTTTCACATGGTCAGCTATACGTTGCAATCTCTAGAGTTACTTCAAAGAAAGGACTAAAGGTTCTAATTATCGATAAATATGGGAAGCCTCAAAAGAGTACTTGGAATGTGGTTTTCAAGGAAGTCTTTCAAAATCTGTAGTTTATTAGAGGTTTATAGTTTCTCAGAATTACTCTTTTCATGTAAGGTATGACTCTAAAATAAGCCAAAAATTTTTATGTGCAATAAAAACCTAAAACTAAGTATTTGGTGGAACATATTTACGTGACTATAAAAAATTAGTTATTTAGAGTATATTGGATCGTTATAATGTATACATGTCCAATACGAAACCTATTATCACATCTTACTCTTTCTTTTTACCATCCAAACTTCAACTATCTTTTAATACATACACTACAAACATACATTCTTAGATACATGTTACGTATGTTTACCATACATTATATATTTATATTCAATTATACCATCTCTCTAATATAATCACAATTACATAATCATGTGAAGTTTGTTTTTCACACAAACCCACACAAAATTTAAATACATTAATGTTTTAATTCAAAAAATTCTACGTTCACATAACCCCGGACGTACGTCCGGGTCCGATCCTAGTTATACATATTTTTGCAAAACTTAGCCAAATTTAGTAAGATTAAACTATTTTTTTTTTAAATAGAACATTTTTTTAGTTTTTATTTTTTGAAAACCGATATGAAACCGATCCGAATCCGACACTATCCGAACCGAATCCGATCCGAATAGTCATAAAATCCGAACGGATAATAAATTCTCCTACCCGAATTATCCGAATCCGAATAAATCCGAACTGGATCCGATCCGAAATCCGATACTATCTCGCATGTTTAAGAAAAAATATATGATATTGTGCTGTTACTATAATATAAGCTTTTCCTAAAGAAAATAATAAAGTATGACTTAAATTTTCCAATTTGGAATAATCTTTTTGCAGTATTAAGCTCTGAGGCAAAGATCACGATGAACAAGAAACTAAATAATGGCGAAATGTACTTCACTTTTATTTTTTTTTGGTCACCTTAATGTACTCTAATCGATCGTGTTCCCAAACAAATAAGCATATATTTTTAAATAGCATTGTTAGAGCTGGTTAAATTGGCACACATTAGCAATGGCACAATAATTAGAATTTTGGTTTGCCACAATTAATAAAAGCTTTTAATGGCAAGAATACAAGAAAGGTCTATGAGTAGATGTGTTAGATATGTGTCACTGCCAATATATTAGTCTAAACAAGACTGACATATTTGGCAAAACAAATTACATGAGTTAATTATGTCAATTAGCACAATTACACTAAAGAGTATATTCAAATTATTTGAAGTTTTTAAAGAAATTAGTCACACTTTGATCATTATTTTACCCGCATCCATACATGCATGACTTGTTTGTTCTGCACGAGCTGCACTTTTGATACGCTTGCACTTCACGATCCATTGTCATTACTATTTTTCACTAGCCAATACATTCTTTATCTACGTTTTTGTTTAAGAAAAATATTATTTTAGGGCAAAGCTGCTGATCAAAAGAATTGGAGATTGCTTCAAAACAAGAAGCTTTCTAACATATATCCACTAATAAAGCATCTTTTTATTCTAATAAAATAAAATCAAAACTCTTAATATGAAAGATCAAACACCTTTGCAAAATCATTCCAAACGATAACGAAGCAAAAATAATAACCAACTTCAAAAATCGATATTAATTTTTTTCAATATTTTTCCCGTGATGCCGATCAAGCAGAAACATCCAACTACACCTACAGTTGAAGCAAATCCAAAGCAAAAATATTCAACCATGCTCGCAACTGTTATTGGCTTACCTAGTTTGAGAGTTTCGTTTCCATACTTTGAAATAGTGGCTGCATTCCGTACAAGGCTTTTTGAAGGTTCGGGTACAGTTCCAACCGCGGAACCACGCTCTTGTTGTTCTAATATGCTTGCTAGTTCTTGTGCTCTATAAACTGTTAAAGGCCCAAACAAGTTCAAAGAACATTGCAGTTGTGAATTGAGCCCACCAATAAACCTTGCAACCAATTGTGTTTCTGTATCTTGAACTTCAATCCGACTAAGTATCGCGAAAAACTCGGTTGCATATTCATCCACCGTTTTGTTTCCTTGACGTAGATCTTGAAGTTTTCGAGACAAAATCTTATCGTAATTGCAAGGTAAAAACCCTTGACGTAAGTGTTTCTTTAACTCTTCCCACGTTGCTATTTTAGGGTTTCCCGAACGTGCACGTGAAGCTTTCAATTGGTTCCACCAAGCTGCAGCACGACCGCGGAAACATGTTGCTACTAACGAAACACGTCGTTCATTAGGAACCTTTTTGTAGTCCATCACTTCTTCAACTGTAACAAACCAGTCGAGAAGTTCTTCTGCTTGATCAAGACCACCATGGAACTTAGGGATCTCAACCTTGAACCCTAATTCCCACTGTGTGTTTTCTTCATTGTTAAGACTTGAACCATCTATGTCTGAATCATCGTTGTCGCTGTCTTGATGTACGTTCATCTCTTGAATTGTTCCGGTAAGATTTTGAACTTGTACCTGTAGATCTGTTATAGACTTTCTTAGCTCCTCGTTCTCATTAACTGGAACGTTACCTTGCGGTAGAGCCATGAATCTGGAGCGTAGCAAAGCTCTAAGACAAGTTATGAGGGTTGAAATAAGCTCTAAGACAAGTTATGAGGGTTGAAATAAGCTCTCCAAAACTGCTGAGGCAAAAGAAACCTAATAAAGCGTATTTATAAAGCAAAAAAAAAAAAAACCCCTAATAAGTTAACCCTAGTTCTAATAAAATTCAACCTTAATCAAACTTATATTAATTGAGAAGATACGAGATAAACTTGAATTTAGTTAGGGCAAATTAAGAGATATGTCGTTACTTTAACCAATAAAAATTCTATACTTATGAAAACCCTATCAGGATTTGGGCCCAATCTATACTATATAAAAGTCGAAGCCATAAGCTCCTTAGGCCGTCCACGTGGGATTTTAAACAACCAATCACGGTTTGACATGTCATTAGTTAGCATTTTTATAATCCTTGCTAATTAACATTTTTTAAAACTTTATTTATTAAAATATTACTAATAAAAAAATTATTTAAAACCACCAATCGGGATTAAACATTTATTCTGTTAACATTTTTACACACCACGTTAATTAATATTTTTTGAAACTTTATATATTAAATTATTATTAATACAAGAAAGCAAGATATTCGAAAATAAAATAAATATAACATTAAAAAAATATGGAATCTATGTAATTATAATTATTAAATACTTCAAAATGAGAAAATATTCATTCACCGTTTAGTAATAACCGTTTTCTCTCTCGCCCAGCCCCAAACCGTTTCATCACAAGCCTCCGGTTTTTGCACCGTTTCTGGCCGGCGTCGGCTTCTCCGACGTCGGCCTATGTCATTTGCTTTCTCTGATTTCAATTCTTGTATAGATTTAGGCATAAAAAACACCGGCCAATGATTATCAAGACAATTGGGTTGGTTTTCTTCTTCCAAAATTTCATCAACTTTCTCTCCTTTTGTGAGAGCTTCATTCCGACCAGAATCCGGTATGGATCTCGGAGCAATGTCGGCGCGTTTCCGCTGAGGATCTGTCCAAGCGGCTTTCTTCGGTTCATGATTGAAACCGTTCCTCATCACTACCATGGAATCGTTAAATCCGATGAACAATTTGTTACATCGAAATACGACTTTCAATCTAAGATCTGGGATCCGGGCGCTTTCAATTCCAAAATTGAAGATAATGGGATTATTTGGGCAGATCTCATCTCTAACAACCGTTCTCTGTTTTCCTCGGCGTTGAAGGCTGCGATTCTCTCACTCAAAGTATCGAAACAATCCGATGGTGCCTTTTCCTTTCTTTGGTCGGAAATTTCCGATATACCGATTGATCTTTTGGGTTCTGGGAATTTGTTATTTGGTTGCAAAATTAGAGAGTTGACATTTCCCGATGATGATGACGACGACCACTTCCCTTGGTCAGAAATCTCCTCTTCGCTCGAAATTGTTCAATGTTTTTTACAATCTCAAGAAGACTTTGCTCATCCAGTTCATCATTCGTTTAAACAACGACATAAACTAGTTGGTTCAAATGATGGTTTCATTCTTCTTGTTCGAGCAAACCAACGTCACGTGATGAGACTTTGTTTCATTCCCAGGTGCTTTCACATTGCTTATTCTAATCAGCTTTATAGACTCTTGGTATGTTATCAAGTTTTTACTACGTTAGAAATACTTGAAAGTATTTCGTGGTGGCATTGGAAACTTGTTTTATGGCAAAAACAATGGATTGGAAGACAATGGAGACTTTCCCAAGAACACAGAAATTATTTGCCGGAATCATCAAGTATATTGAATTCAAGAAGACGACAAAATTCAGAATCATCTCCAACGACATTAGATTTATTTTTCCTCGTTAAAGTAATGCCATTGGCATTTTGGAGTTTCAGCAGCAAGCTGATAGCCATTCAAAAGTATGTGAAGGGGGGACTTAACAGATTACATCTGTTGCCTGTAAGACTACCTAATAGCCGGGTTACTTCCACTCCTTCATCGAAATTGTATCAATTTCCTGTATTTGCGTACATCGGTCGTATTGGAATGTTTTTGTATTTTGTAAACACTTTTTGATATCAATATAATTGATTTGACGAAAAAAAAAAAATGTAATTATAATTATTTAATATTAAGCTCAATCCCATAAAATATTTGTTTACAAACGGTAATATTTTAACAATAGTTTTATTACTTTTATATATATAACCTTGGATAATGGTTTGGTTTTGATGAACTATTACTATCTCACGAGATTATATATGTTAATACGATCATGAGAATATATGTTAAATTCCCAAAACAATTAAATGTGAAATCATCCATATATGTTAATCATATAAAGATATATTTTATAAAAGTCGAAGCCATAAGCTCCTTAGGCCGTCCACGTGGGATTTTAAACAACCAATCACGGTTTGACATGTCATTAGTTAGCATTTTTATAATCCTTGCTAATTAACATTTTTTAAAACTTTATTTATTAAAATATTACTAATAAAAAAATTATTTAAAACCACCAATCGGGATTAAACACTTATTCTGTTAACATTTTTACACACCACGTTAATTAATATTTTTTGAAACTTTATATATTAAATTATTATTAATACAAGAAAGCAAGATATTCGAAAATAAAATAAATATAACATTAAAAAAATATGGAATCTATGTAATTATAATTATTTAATATTAAGCTCAATCCCATAAAATATTTGTTTACAAACGGTAATATTTTAACAATAGTTTTATTACTTTTATATATATAACCTTGGATAATGGTTTGGTTTTGATGAACTATTACTATCTCACGAGATTATATATGTTAATACGATCATGAGAATATATGTTAAATTCCCAAAACAATTAAATGTGAAATCATCCATATATGTTAATCATATAAAGATATTTTATAGAAAATTTCGAAAACCTGAAAATATGTTAATCTTAGCTTTAGTTTTAAACGATAAGGAAAAATCCTATTAAAAGATGAGGAAAATCACAACTAAAACACAAAAAAAAGTAAGTTAATGATAATCCAACAAACTTTTAGTTTACAACAAAAGGGAAAAATTCTACTTATCAATAAAAAGGAAAATATAAAGTTTTAACAATAGTTTTATTACTTTTATATATATAACCTTGGATAATGGTTTGGTTTTGATGAACTATTACTATCTCACGAGATTATATATGTTAATACGATCATGAGAATATATGTTAAATTCCCAAAACAATTAAATGTGAAATCATCCATATATGTTAATCATATAAAGATATTTTATAGAAAATTTCGAAAACCTGAAAATATGTTAATCTTAGCTTTAGTTTTAAACGATAAGGAAAAATCCTATTAAAAGATGAGGAAAATCACAACTAAAACACAAAAAAAAGTAAGTTAATGATAATCCAACAAACTTTTAGTTTACAACAAAAGGGAAAAATTCTACTTATCAATAAAAAGGAAAATATAAAGTTTATAAATTCTAAAGTAGTGGGTTATGTATAAATAGTCATCTAAAACTGATGATAGAACATAGAAACTTCAAATAACATTTCAGTTCATTGAGAAATCCTTTTAGTTCATTGAGATATCAAAGAGAGTTCATTGAATTAAAATGGCACATGCAACTTCATTCTTCTCCTTCCGCTCAAGTATTTCCTTCCTTGGTTTTTGATGAGTTGGCAAAAGGTTTTACTAACAAAGAAGTTGTTGTAAGGGTCATCCACTTCTAGGAAGTACAAAACCCAAAAAAAGGTGGTTTACTTATGGGGCTCGAGCTCCTGCTCATCGACCAAAAGGTATGGAAATTTAATTAGGTTTCACCGTCTTTGTTTCATTATCTCATAAGTAAACGTTTTTAACCTCAAAATAATTTCTCCTTTGCAGTCCTCCCTAATCCAAGCATTCATTGCCGCAAACGAATAGGCTGCTATGAGGGAAAACTCAAACCTGGTGTTGTCTACACAATCAAAAATTTCTTGGTCACCAACAACAGGACAAGCTACAGGGTGTCTCCTCACAAGTTTCTAATCCAGTTTACCCAGCAAACAAGGCTGAATGAGGTTGTTGATGCTGGCGAATCAATAGAAAGACAAAAGTTTAGGATCCGTTCTTTTGCTGAATTTGAAGAAGTTGTCCACATGAACGAAAACCTATATGGTAAATATTTGTTTTCTATATGTTTGTTATAATATCACCATGTTCTAACTCTAAGCTTGCTCCAGATGCCATCGGAAAACTGGTCCTCATCAATGATGATAACTTCAACGACAAAACAGAGCAAGTACCAAGTGGTGCGATTAAAGGCAAAACAGAAGTTCACCTACAACTAAGAGCGTAAGAAACTTCTTCCCTTAACTCTAACTACTTACAAGCTTGAAATAAAAAAGACTCTGACTACTCTCTGCCTTTCTTTGTTTTGAATCAGCGGGCCTGTTGTTCGTCTAACTCTTTGGGACACTGTTTGTTGCTGTCAATTTTTGGAAAAGATTGATGAAACGTACCACTAAACCTGTCGTTACTCCTTGCTACTCTTGTCAACCCAAGAACAGTTAGAGGTTTGTAATCTCAATCCTAGAACTAGTACTGTTACTTAATCTGCTATTTACATATGCAAGTTTAATCTATTATACGTATAGATTACTACCTACAATAATATAAACCACTTAAACTAACCAGCATATTTAAATTGCATGTTACAGATATGTTCTGTCTCTCCTCTACCTCTTCCACCAGGATTTTTTTCGACAACGATGTTGATCTAACTACTGAATACTTTGCAAGGTACGTATATGTTCAAGTTGTATCATCATATACTACTATTCTTTACTAAGTCTCATATATATGAACAATTCTTGGGTTCACCCCTAGGGGTGAACCCAAGTATTCACCCCCTTTAATCTTAGCCAATCATTATGCCATGTCATATAATATTTAATTAAAAATTGGAAAAACAAATAAATTAAATTAAAAAAATAAATTATTAACAAAAACATTGAGTTACTTAATGATGTCGTTGTTTTTCATTTTAGGTTTTGCAATTTCATTCCATGGCCATTGATAGCATTAACTTCTGCACCCTTAGAACTTTCATTATTCTGGAATTGTTCTAGCCGCTAACTTTCTCCTTTTCCCCTAAGTAATTTTGAACCCTAGATTAAGAACCTGTAAGCTAGTTTTCATTACGTATCGATTTGAGTCAAGCGAAAATTATTAGAATTGACTTTAGGAAGAAGGTGTTGATTGTTTCAGATTTAAACTTGATGAGTTGATTTGGCTCTTAATTATATGGATCATTATTTGGTTTGGTTGTCTCTCTGTGACTTGTTCAATTTTTGCTTTATCATTAATATATCCAGGAAGATGATAACGGCATAACCCAAACCATGGAATGTGCTCAGTACGTGTAATCCTTCACGTGAAGGCTCCCTGCTGCTCCATCAACAAGCTTAGCGTCACCCTTGGAGGTTCCAAGTGTGGCTTCGGAGTTAGCCTTGCACCTCACATACAACGCCTCTTGAGCTGCCTTCACATTCTCCTCTTTGCATGCCCATGTCTTCAAGGTACTCTGCTGCAACGCACGTCGGAACGAGAAAGACAATGACTAAAGTTCAGAGCCAACTTGCTCTGATACCAATTAAAGTTCAAAGCCTACTTGCTCTGATACCAATTCAAATCAAGATCACCTTATCTTGACTGCTCTGATGCCCAATTCAAATCAGGAACACGTTACCCTGACTTAGTCACTGAATGATTCAGAAAGTGATTCAGCAATACGAGAACAAGAGTTTAAAGAACAACCTTTCTTTATTGATTTAGAAACTTCACAAAACTAAATCTCTCTCTTCTGTCCTTTCTGAGGTCTTATGGAACAACTCTCCATAGCCTCTCTTATATAGAACTTATCTACCCCTAAGTCTATATGAGTCTCTTTCTCTAGACTCTCATGAGATCTGTCTCAACACCTCCACGTGTCTCGACTCTCTTCTTGAGCTCTCCTCTTGAGCTACACGAGCTCCCCGCTTGAGCTACTCTCACGAGCTCCCTCTGAGCTGCTCTCACGAGCTCTCCTCTGAGCTACCCTCTGAGCTACTCTCTGAGCTACTTCGGCTATACGAGCTACTC